GAAGATCTGGCAGGGAGAAAAGCAGTGACAGATTCATGATTTTCAAATTTTCCAAGGACCAACCCTGAGTGGAAGTGCAGAGGGAGTTATTTCACAGTTGAAACACGAGTGCATCAGCTCGAGGTAGCAGGTTGCAACTGTTGGAAATTTCAAGAATACCAGTCTCTCTTTCAGGTTCCAAAGGCCATGTGGCTACCTAACAGATTTAAAGGAGATTTCACACATAATAATAGCTGGTCAAACCACATGCTTCCAAGAGGAAGTATGCCCTGTCCCAAAGGATTCACAACCTCCTCTCCACAAAGGCATGCATGAAACAAGGCCTTCTAAATCTTCTTTGGGATCCAGTTTCCTGGCTTAATAGCCTCCTCAGGAATTGCCATGTGTTCCACAGTACCACCGTCGCTCCCTGGCAGTAAGAGTGGCAATTAGGGGAATGTACATGTTTCCATTCCCATGAGTGCCTCACTAAAACGTGTCAGCGCCTCTGCTTCTGCTTTCAATTAGACCTTGCCATAGAAATGCTATTGTTATTCTCTTTTATCAAGTCGGCCCTGACTTAGGGCAATCCCATACACAATGAGATGGGACTGTTATGGTCCATACATTTTATTTTTTGAAAAATTTATTCTATTTTTGTTGTTTTTGCTGAGAATATACACAGCAAAACATGCAGCAATTCAACAGTTTCTCTATGTACAATTCATTTTAGACATTGATTGTGTTTTTGAGTTGTGCAACATTCTCACTCTCCTTTTCTGAGTTGTTCCTCCCCCCTTGACATAAACTCATTGCCTCCTAAGGTTCCTATCTAATCTTTCAAATTGCTATTGATAATTTGATCCCATAGACAGAGATCTTTAAAAAAAAAGAAAAAGAAAAAAAAAAGTGTGAAGCTCAAGGCAGACATTCTTTACTAGTTAAGCAGTAATCCACAGGGTTTTCATTGGCTGATTTTCAGAAGTAGATCACCAGACCTTTCTTCCTAGTCTATTTTAGTCTGAAAACACTGCTAAAACCTGTTCAGCATCATAGTTACACACAAGCTTCCAGTTAAAATAGTTTTTTGAATGAAATTTGCTTTATATAAAACCCTTTGCCTCTTAAAGATGCATATTACATTCAGGAAGAAGCAATTTAAGATGAAGTCCATTATGTGGTAGAGAATTGTCTTGCACAATTTAATTGTATTCATTTGCACTTCAGCTGATTCCTTTTGTTTCACAATCCAAATTTCTGTTATATGCTTGTATGTTCACAGGAAGACATTTATAGTCATCTCACTACCATTGTTCAGAATGCTGACATCTTGGACAACGCAATTGTGCAACGGTTAATTTATTATGCTTCTAAGGACATGAGAGACAGCAATGTGAGTTTAGTTTTTGATGGTCAATCAGTGTCAGGAAGAGCAATAGGATCTTTAAGCTCCCTAACTGCACCCATGTGGTGTCCATAGGCTTTTTCTACATTGTTTCTATGACCATAGAACACTTTCATTTGTTCACATGGTAACCATTAGAGTGTTTGTTATTAATCCTGTAACAGATGAGTAAACTGAACCAAAGCTAACAGAAACTTTAAAACTAATACCATTCAACCCACTTGTAGATGAGAAAGTTATTGGAAAGGAAATAAAAGTTGTTCAAAGTAACACAGCTATCTATTGGCAAAACAAGTAACTAGAGCACAGTTTTCTTGTCTTTCTATGAATCCTTGTCCCTTATCTTACCTACTTATCTTTGTCTCCTGGACATTGTATCTGAAAAATTTTTTGTAGAAATAAAAAAAGGCCTAGGATGATGTTAATTTCTTCCAGAAAGGATTTTTACTTGTTCCTACCAAGGGCATTAAAAATCTATGATCAGTTTCAGAATTTGAGAATATCTGGACTACTACTGTCTGGGCTACTTAGGTGACTCAGAGCTGGAGTGCAGGCCATGTGCGGACTGATTGACTTTTATTTCAACCTCACATCTAAGTACAGCCTTTTGCAATCTTACTCCACAAAAATGATAGGAGGGACTTGCAGTAAGATGGCCAAATAGGCAGACAAACTACAAGACCCTCTTCAACAAAGGAAAGAGAAACTCATTGACACAGATAACAGAAGACAATCCTGGAGCTCTTAGCTTTGAATGGAAGGATACAGACGTGGATTAAACTCCAACTAGTAAAAGAACCAGCATGAGAGCAGTGAATAAGGAGACAAATGGAGCTGTGGACTATCAGCAATCTTGAAGGCATAGAGAGTTTGAATATCTCCAAGTGGCAATAGGCACTGAGAATTAACCTAAAAATCAGCCCTGCTTGCCAAGGGCTAGATGGATGACTGCACTGGTGACTCAAAAGGGAAGCAGCAAAGCAGACAAACTGAACTGTACAGCCATCCCTCACCTCCACCCACCTTCTGGGCCGGCAGGAATTCCATCCCAGTCTGTGTGCTCTGAAGAGGCCTAGACCTCCATGCGCCCCACCACTTGTTTTTTTGTTTTGTTTTGTTTTGTTCTGTTTGTTTTAAATTTATTCTTTTTTTTCTTCTTCTTCTTCTTTTATTTATATTCTTTCTTTTTCCCTTCCTAGGTTCTAGTTTTTGGCTTTCTTCCCTTCTCTTTTCCTGTTTCTCTTTATTTTCTTTCTTGTGGTACTTCCCATCCCTTATGTTTTCTGTTGTGTTTTTCCTACTCTTATCTTCCTTGTTCTCTTACTCTAGCTCTTTTCTCTTATTCCCCTGCCCAGTTATATTGTGGGTTTTTTTTTCCCCCCTCTTTTTCTACTTATATTTCTTTTGTATTTTTAAAGCATTTCTTTAAATATTTCATCTCTTTTATTGCCATTCCTCTTTTCTTTTTCTTT